CTTTTTGTACAGTTTGGCTCCTTTCGTGGCAATTTCTTTTCCCATCTCGGGATTAGTATGAACAACAAAGGCCAAATTGATCAATCCAATAATCACCTTATAGTGATCGCTTTGAAACTGCTGTGCAGAAGCCTTCATGGTGTCCATGAGGAAAAATCCAGCAGGATTGATGATGGTTCCTTTCGGTAACCACCACTGCGGAAGAAAGGCTGCAATCACTGGAGGAAGGAATTGAGTGTAGCCTGGTAAATGTTGATACTTTTGCAGAGTTTCCGATAGGAAAGAAACCTCTCAAACAGTAGAAGGCCCACAACAAGGAAAAACAGAAGCAATAACGATGATGGAATAACGACCCACAAGAGAAGGTCCGAATTGAAGTTCAGCAAGAATGACATTGTTTTTTGTGATGTGCAGTTGGTTTTGACGAAATTGGTTCAGAGTTTGTGGAGTTGAACCCGATCAATTTCCAAAAGCAAGATCAACTTCTTGGGTGCGTTATTTTGTAATTATATTCTTCATAATTTGAAAATAATTCGAGCAAAAGGTTTACACTATGGAAGTTAGGAATAAGGTGTTCTAACACGCTTGATCTTTGATTTGATTTTGTGCAGAGTCATTTCAATATTTCGGTAGGTCAATCTTTGAATGTTGTTATGGTTGACTTGTGAAAAACAGGAATGATTTGTATTTTTGTTGTTTATTGAGAACACAGTCATTGATCGCTTCTTCTCTTACAACTACCACCTTAATAAGTATCGACCTGATGAATGATATCCAAAGGATGATGCTCTCGACTCGTGCTTGGAATTTCTTCATCGGCATTCAACCCAACTCCAGTGTCACCGACACTCATTCCCTCCGTAATATGTTTCTTATCAAAGTCTTCCTCATACAAGTGATATTCCAAAGGCATCTCAATATGTCTCTCTGTGAAGAGCAGTTTCGTATCGTCGCTCAAACTAAAGATTGGAGCAGTTCCCAATAGGTTCATCTTGGTCATGGGTTGAGCTGGAGTCGTGCTCTGACTGGCAGATGCTTGTGCCTCAAATGAAACTTCCTTCTTCTTCTTCATAATACTCTCAGAAACAAACGACACTTTGTACTTGCTCAATAAGTGAATCAGGAAGAGTTTTTGTTCTTGGAGAGAGAATTTCTGTCCCAAACACACTCTCGCTCCAGCACCAAATGGAAGAAAGGAACAAATCATGGAATGAGGAGATGAAGTTTTCAACAATTGTTCACTGGTGGAAGCTTCTGAAGAGGCAGATTCTCTCTTCATCTTGATCTTCTCATCATCTTCTTTTTGGGAAGGAACACTTGTGGTGACAGCTTCCTTTGAAGATTTTGGAAGATGAGGAATATCTTCTCCCATATTGAATATTTCAGAAGTTTGAGGTAATTCAACATTCACTGGAGATGTGGAAGGTGAAGTGCCAGCACCTTTCACAGTCGAGAATACGTGACTCGAGACGTGTTGCTGTTGTTTCATTCGAATCCATCGCTCTGGATCAAACTTTTCACAATCCTCTCCCCAGATTTGTGGATTGCAATGAATGGCTTTGATCAAGAGTGAAACTGAGTAGTCTTTTGGGATCTTCAAACCTTCCACCACTTGATTCTCACAACTCAAACGATTCAACATTCCTAAAGGAGAAACCACTCTCAAACTTTCATTCACCACGGCATCCAAGTAAGACAATTCCTCATTCATGCGATGAATATCATCCACAGATCGTATCAAGACATGACATGACTCATGAGCGAGATGAGAATTCTTTGAGAATTTCTCTCCCAGAAAACTCTTTTTCAATTCATCGACCAATCGTTCCTGTACATGAGGATATTGAGCCAAATGGAACAAGAGAAAACTCAAAGCCTCTGCAGTGGTGGCATGTCCTGCAATGTACAAGAGCAAGACATCATCTCTCAAGTTTCGAAATGAAATTTGATTCATGACTTGTTGCTTGGAAGGAGTTTCAGAGGAGGTCCTCTCAAATTCATAGTATTTGAGGAGAAGTGTTTCAATGGCACTCTTCTCTCGATGAGGAGTTCCCATAATTTCCTCAGATGTGAGAGTGATGGTCGTAGAGGTGGTTGTAGCAGCAACATTGCTGGTTCCAAGTTGCTGATCTGTCTTGGACGATGGAATAAACTTTTCTCTCTTCTCCTCAATGAGGGAATAGATGAAGGAATTTAAGGTATTCATCGCTTCTGCCAATTTGGCATTATCTTCAATGGGAAGCATGGAGTAGAGTGTACCGAAAATTCCTATATTTCTCTCCCAGGTATTCACATGTTTGAACAGATAACGAAAGGCCTTCAAGACTTTTTCATACTTTTCCACTCGATTCATGTCGACTGGTTCCAAGTATTTGAATTCACAATCGAGAGCACTCAGTCCAATCACATCCAGAGCGAGACGTGTGAGCATGTCCTTAATCTTAATCTTGTAACTTTTTTCAGCTTGAGGTTCATAAGAGAGTTGAGTCCCATACATTTCAATATTGGAGACACATTTCACAATACATTCACACATATCGGCCCAATACTTTTCTACATGTTGGAAGGAAGGATTCAATACGGAACGATTTGCATGCCATTCCTCACCATTCATGAACACGAGTGCATTTCCAATGAAAGATTTCTGCATGGGATTCAAGAGTTGAGTATTCTTCTCAAAACTTTTCCATTTCTCAATGAGAATGGTTTTTGCTGCATGATTATCCGAGAAGACGACAGTGGGAATGAAACCTTTCATGTAAAAGATGAAAGGTTCAAAATGGAAGGTTTTGGCAATTTGAAACAATTTCTCTGGTAAGGGTTGATCATGATTGAAGAGGAGTAATTTGAGAGATTGCCAAATGGTGAGCGAGTGTCGAATGGCTTTTCTTGTTTTGGTATCTCGAACAGTGGCGACACAAACACCTTCATAGAATTTGATCAGAAAGAGGCAAAGAATGGGTAAGAAACAGATATAGGCAATGATGGAGAGAAGAGACCACATGTTGATGACAAGTAATTTGTAATGTGAAAAGAATGAATTCTTGATCAAGTGATCACTAACAATGAATTTCAAATCCAAATGGTAAATAATGAATGAATGGTAATGATAAACTCTGTGTTTGTAGTAGTGAATGGTGTTTTTTCTGAGTGAAAGTGTTTGTGTAGGTGCTTGTTCATGGATTTATATGAGGAGAGATCGAAAAATGGAAACATGGAGAGATTGGAGTCTTTTTTGAAAAATTGACTCTTTTAGAAAATAACTTTTTCAGACAGTTTGTTTTTTAAAGAAGAGGAATTTGAATGTGAATATTCGTAAAGCAAATTCATCTTGATATTATCAAAGATTACAGCTTTCAATGGATCTCAAGAATTGAAAAAGGAAAACATTTATTTGAAAAATCTTTTTAAAAAAAATTGAATTTATTCGGAAGACCATGAAGCAAACCCAAGCTCCAACACACAGTGGAGAAATTTATAAAGGATCAGTACCAACATTGGCCGATTCTTCCGATCGGTTTCTTGACCTCGACACAAAACAATCGGTTGTGAATTTGTGTAACATGTGGAGCTCGCATATTCATCATGTAATGAATGAACCAAGTGTAGGAATGTATCGGATTGTGGAACACGTGAGATCAAAAGTGCCCTTTATTGTGGAACAAAAGGTAGGATCTCAATCCTATGATTTGAAATATGTACATTTACTCTCTTTTATTTTGATGACATGTTCATCTCCGATTGATGAAAATATATCTTTTCAATTGAATGTTTTTGCGACATTCATATCATCATGAAAATCCAAAATTCAAATGTAAATTTTGTGATCTATAATTTTCAAAAATATAATTGCCACCTTGATGATGATCATTGCATGAAATCATGATATTCATCACAACAGAATTTATTGAAAACTAAAAAAGTGAACGAAAAAATCTATGATGCCGATTATGCCTTGCTAGCTTGTAAATCTATCAATTCCAACACACCTTGGATTTTCTCGGAGAGTATTCGATTATTGAAAAACAATTTTGTGAGTGTTCCACTGGCACCACCATCAACCACAACAACAAACAAAAGCAAAGTCTTCTCCTTTCATAAATCGAATGCAACTTCAGCACAACAGCAAATAGAAACAACAACGACATTGCCAAATGATGTTTCTGTCAGTGAATCTCTGCCTTCTCAGAATCCAACAACAAACACTGTACAGTCTTCAACAACCTCCGACGATCAGCAACAACAAGAAAATCCTTCGGAGGAAAACCAACCCAGCGTTGACACAAAGAGTTCTGTTGAAATTTTGACATCTCCATCCTATGAACAATCATCTGCAATTGATAATAGTGACACACATGCAAGTCTGAACCCCACAATCAAGGAAACAACAGAACCATTGTCACCACCCAAGAAAGAGGAATCGACTCAAGACACCATGACACAGACAACACAAGAGCAAGCCCATTCAGACACCACAACAACAAGTACACTCACCAATAGTAATGAGGAAAACATCATGACCACCACCACAACTCTTACTGAAGCTTCACATCCTGTCGTCTCGCCACACGGAGAAACTCAAGATGAAAGCAGTGTCACGGAAGTCACCGGCATTCCTTCTTCTATGACCACTGGAGGTGGCGATGACGAATGGTCCTCTCTTGCCATTCAACCTCTGCCTTCGTCTTCAACCAAGAAAAAGAAAGCCACAAAGAAAAAGAAGAAACAACAAGCTTCTGAAGAGGAACCTGCTGCTACAGAAGAGGAGGAAGCTCTGACACCAAAAACCTTTTAACTACAAAGTCCGTCACGCAATCCGTCCAACACATCCGTATTGCAGATCTGGTTTCCATTTAAACAAATGTTTTCACACAGTCACATAAAAAAAAATATTGAACATAACATCCACTCATCATATTGTTTTTGAAAATCGGAGAGCAAGATTTCATCCTTGCATATTTATCTCGAAAATATATTTTCCTTGGTTTAATTCTCATCAGTCAGAATAATTACAATACTTTCAACACACACATTGCCAAATGCAATCATCAACGAATACAGCGGCCATGATTGAGCCTGGAAGCATCATTCTCAGCGAAATTGCTTCTCTCATTGATTCGTTTTGCAATCCCGATATTCCATCATCGAAAAAGAAGGAGCAAAAGGCTTCTCATTGATCATGTACAAGGCGGAAGACTCTCCATCAATGATGGAATTAAATTATTAGGCGAATATTTAAATCATGCAACCGATGAAAAGATTAGAGGCTCAGCCTATGCAGTCTTACATTTAATTTTGGAAAACGTTCCCGATCAAAGCATGGACGATGATCAGCAAACAAAATTAGTAACAACACTTTTGAGGTTTATAACCGATCGATTGTATGACTTTGATTGTTTGGCAACACTGGTACCTTGCTTATTTGTGTGTTTCAATCGATGGTTTAGCCTCATATCGACCGAGCAATGCACACACATTGTTCTTCAATTTTTCGAGAATGTTAATGTTCAATCCATGGCAAGTACATCAGGTGTACAGAGCGCAACAAAAACACGAGGCATGTGTTTTGAATGGTTCAATCTGCTGATTGACAAATTTCCATCCATTGTCAAGTCTGTGAATTTTTTGAATGGTTTTATTCAATCGATTGAAGGAGAACGAGATCCTGCAAATCTCATGACTTGTTTTGATATGGTTCCTCGAATTATTGAACTATTCGACATTCATTCTGAGAACACTGAAAAAATTTTGACAGGCATTTCTGATGATTTATTTGATGTCACCAGTTGTTATTTCCCAATTACATACACTCCTCCTCCAAATGATACAAGAGGTATCACTAAAAACGATATTTCAAACAAGCTTTTGAAATGCTTTGCATGCAACAAGTACTTTGCTCCAAGCCTATTTCCATTTCTTTTAGAGAAGCTTTCAAGTGATCTAATTGAAACCAAACTTGAAGCATTAGAATACATGTGCTATTGTATTGAAAGATATGGATCTTCAGTGGTAGAGGAGTATTTGACTGAAATTTGGGCATATATTAAGGCGGAGGCTGTGAAAACCAGTTCCATGGAAGTCATGAGAAAGTGCTATGAATTCATAACGAGAACAACACGAGTGGTTGTCATTCCAAACGATCCTAGTATTAGACAATTTGATGTACCAAATATTGAAGCTATTGCGAGAACTGCCCTCGCTGAGTTACGTTCCAAAGAGTGCAAATTGGCTGCACAATATGCTCGAATGCTCTATGCCTGTGGAGTTGCTTCCAGAGAAATTTCTGTAATTGTTTTCAATAGAGTTTTTCCAGAGCTTATTACCGTTCTTAGCGAATCAGAGAATTACGATAAAATCTATGGAACATTTATCATGATGACGCAAGTATTGCAAGCGTTGGCAGAGGCATTCACTGCGTCACACTTGAATAGCATTCCACAAAATATTATTCAACAGATCGGACAAGCACAGACATTATTTATTTCCATGTACGAAGAGCAATTCAACAAAGATGACAAGGAAATGATTCTTGTCATTATCGAATTAATCTCAAGATTTGCCGTTTTCAGAATTGAGTCCACACTTTTGAAAGACGTCTATGTGAACAGAATTTTATTGAAATCATATGGAGAGGACAACAAATCGTTTACACTCTTACATGCTACATCTTTAGATGAATACAAGGATCGTTCCATTAAGGATATTTCTTGGATCTACAAATATGCACCAGACATTATTCAAAAGATGTAATCATTCCACTCATTCAAGTGCTGTACGAGTGTCAAAACCGCTCAGAAATTATCCACCGAATTTTATCTGTCATTTCACAAATAGGCACTGTTTGTTCAACTCTAACACCATTTATTACTGAACAATTATTTGAGAGAATTTCCTTCAATTTAACACAGTCGAATGAGAATAGGGAAATCGAGAAAACGAAAATATTTGAGACCATCAGTGGATTAGACCTTACCACTATTGAAGACTCTCAGAAAATGAAGTATATTAGAAAAATGATTGAGCTTGCCGAAATGGAGGAGGACGTTGTTGGCAACAACAAATACAACAACCATAACAATAATGAAATGATGACCGACGAAGATCCAGTGGAAGCAGAAATAGAGGATTCATTTGGATCATCACAGTGTGGAACTGGATGTGGGCACAATCATTCACACGACCATCGAGGAGAAATGTCACATATATGCCTCCTACTAAATCGCTCACTGCCATTCGAGAAACAACAACAAGTATTAGATGAGTTACTACAGCGAAATATTGGTGTTCGACTTTCTGGTCCTTCCATTAAGAAGTTTGCATCTGTTTTTTCAGCTCTAATTGTTTCATGCAATCCGCAAGTGAACATGACAAGTATTGTAGAAATGTCTGGAAATTTATTGAGTTTGTCCTTGCAAAATTTACATCCAATTAGTGTCACCAGTTCCCTCTCCCAAGCTATTGCCTCTCTTCTTAACAAAATTCCTATCGAATCGGACGAGTTTAAATATCTGACTTCCCTTTGTAACACTCTCGTTTTGGAACCTCTTTCTCAAGTGTTGAATGGAGTTGCTACTGACACAGATCATATTTTATCATTGGACCGATATTTAGAAGTCTTGTCTTGGATTTTGAAAGGACTTGTCATGAGAGGCGCCTACTTGTATGCAGATGCATATTCCAATATTTTGTGTTCGTGCCTCGTCTTTGACTTTCCTCAACAACATCATTCATCAAAACTCAACAAGAAAGCTGCTGATTGTTTTTGACAGCCATTGGAGAAGATGAAAATTCACTCCATAAGGATAATCACGCTCTTGTGCAAGTTCTATACAAGCAACGATTCTTTGCAATGAATGTCAGAAAATTAATGGACTCCATAACTACTACTAGTCATCAACCACATATTGTTGGATCCATTTTGTTGGCCCTTTCAAATTTGATTCACAATGTTCCAACTAGTGTGATTTTGAGTGAAGTGAAAAATATTTTCCCAATAGTTCTGAAATTCTTAGAAATGCGTCCTTCCTTGGCACAAGATGAAGCTCAAACCGAGGAATTAATTTACGCTGCCATTAAGACAACATTAACCTTGTTGACAGATGCAAAACAGGAAATGGCTGTACATTTGAGTGCCATTGTGCCAATACTTTTGGAAACTGCGAAGTATCAACGGTCACAAAATATTCGAGTGCTGTCGTTGGAGGCGCTTCATGAAATTACTATTGGGTTTCCTTATCATGAAATATTTCCACTTAAGAAGGAGATTATTAGAGGTTTAGAGTCTTGTTTGGATGACAAGAAGAGACGAGTGAGAAGAGCTGCAGTGAAATGTAGGAATGCTTATTTTGTCATGTCAAAGAATTGAAGATTCTAATTGTAACTACCAATGAAAATTGTCTTTCATTAAAAATTGGTTCCTTTACTTTCCTATGGTGGTCAAAATATTCAGCTCGGGTCCATTAAAATCGAGAACTTCCACTAGCACGTGCCTTAAATAACGCACATCAGCATTCCATTGGAGAATTTGATACTTGCTTCCACTTTTAGGTGCCTCCACACTTGAAGACAAAAGATTCAATGTTTCCTTACAAATACGGTCAATCCAAAAGGCAACAAAATCGTCGTTGGCCAAAATTTCAAGTTGCTCAGGTAGCTTGATGAGATATTCTCCTACTTGTGACACGAATTTAGAGGGTGGAATGGAGTGTTGCAACTCTGGTAAATGAATGTCATCCACATATTCTACAGTGTTACCGGGATCTATGAGCGAGAGATAGTACGATTTACCTGTCAAGTTCTTCGTGGATCCAGTAATGAGAGAGGAAACAAATGCCATGAGTGTGCTTTTTGCCAAATTGTGAGACGGCTGCAACAAATTAATATCCACCGATTTGAATGCCATCGTAAACAATGGAAATTGCACTTCCTGTAGACTGTTATAAAAGTTGTTCAACTGTATGAAGATTTGTTCGTTTTGAATTTTCACATAATATTCATCCACATTCTTGGAAAGAACAACTTCTTTTAGAGCTTCAAGAAGTTTGGACTT